GTGCAGGCCGGGACGGCCCGGCCGAGCCCCCGGCCGCGGCGCGCGTCTCCCCGCCCCGGGAAAGGTCCCAACGGCGCCTGGTGCGAGCGGCCGAGGCCCGGGCAGCGCCGAGAGCGGCGGCAGCAGCAAGAGCAGCCAACATCCGGGGCCTCGCACCCGGAACTACTTCCCGATGCGCTCTCCCTCCCGCCCCTGCCGCCGCCGCCGCTGCCACCCCCGCCTCCCGCGACGTCGCTGCGCTACCGGCCCGGCGTCGGCGGCGTCACGGCGCCTCCGCGATCACGGCAGCGGCGGCGCGCGCGGAATCCCTCCGCTGGGACAAGTAGTGCCCCGGGACTCCGGGGGTTCTGCCTTGGCGTAGCCCGTGTCATCCAGCAGCCGGCAGCTCCGAGCGACTTAGGGGTCTCTGCGCCTCAGAGTAGCGACTGGGAAGTGGGGGCGGCGCGGCCGGCTCTGTAGTTGAGGACAGCAGGGACCTGCGGCCTTGGACCCTGCCCGCAGATTCCAGGAGCCTCATGCTCCCGGGGGAATGGCTCCTCGTGACCCTGCCCCCCCGCCAACGCCCGCCGCCTCACCGTAGCGACAGGCACCTTAGCCGCTCCGGGAAACCGGACGCCTTCTCCAGCTTGGCACACTGCGGATTCTACAGGCCCCAGCAAAGGCACCTTGGGCTTTCAGGCCAGCCTTCTTTCAGCAGTTCACAAGTGCCGGGTTCAGACCCATCTCTGCCGGGGCCTAGCCTGAGCTTCCTTCTCACAACAAAGGAGCTGGGACTCGAAAGGCCCTTCTGATTGAAGTAGCTCCCCAGGTTATGGTCCTTGCTATCAACAGGTGGAGCATTTAGAAGAGTAGTTCGGGCGACTTGTGAACTTTGGAATTTACTTCTACGTCAGTCTTCACTGGCTCTTCCTCTAAACTGTCGGCACTGCCAGTCTGCCCTGTAATTTCACACTTAATTACGTGCAGACGTATTATTTGCTATTGCGTCATTCGCGTTAGTCACCTATGTAGCACCAAGCATGCTTTTGAATTCACAGTAGGTGCTCAGTATTTGGTACTGAGATACGTGTTAGATGAATACTAGGCTGAGTGGATGAGAGGGAAGGAAGAGGCCTGAGTGAATTGGCCCTAGAAACCTTTTTGGGCGTAGTCTTCCAGGGGTCAGATAAAGACCTCTGGTGTTTAAGGAGCTGAGTACCCAATTGCTTCAGCGAACATTCAACTCCTACCATTTTCCAAGCATTTCTAGGCATTGAGGATTCAAAGCACTCCTATATTCCTTTTCTATATGACTCTAGCAAGATTCTGAAAATACAAAGATTCATTCACTTCTTCATCCGACAAATATTTGCCAATCACTACTAAGGCTGTCAGACACTGTTTTTGTGCTTGGGATGCGTCAGTGAACAGGAGAGAGAGGGGGAAAAAAATACCCTCCCCTCTTGGAGGTATCATTGTACAAGGAGAAAGATGATAAACATAAGAAAATTATTGGGTATGATAGGTGTTTAGTGGTATGGGAAAAAATAAACCAGGGTAAAGGGTATGAGGAAAACTGGAGGAGAGGGGGTTGGGATTTTTTTTTAACATCAATATTTATTCATTGATGATATGTTCATTTGCTCAACAAATACTTTAGCCGAACCATGTTTTAGGTGCTGACGCTTCAGCAGAGAGTAAGCCAGACAAAGTTGTGACCCGGTGGACTCCACCGCTAGTGAGGACCACATGCCAGCTGCTTTCACATGTCTTCTCATTCAATGCTTTCACCAAGTCCCTGAGACAGGACTCCTATGCTTATCTTCCCAGCTGATGAAATTGAGGCTCAGGAGAGTTAAAAACTTGAGCCAGAATTCAAACCCAAGGTCTTCTGAGTCCAAATTCCTTTCCAGCTTCACCTCAGCTGAGATCTCATATTTTTCTCTTTCATTATGCCTCACCTTTCATCACGTAAACTCATGCATTAATCTATTTTTTTTTTTTTTTTTTTGTGAGATCAGCCCTGTGCTAACATCCGCCAATCCTCCTCTTTTTTTGAGGAGGAAGACTGGCCCTGGGCTAGCATCCATGCCCATCTTCCTCCACTTTATACAGGACGCTGCCACAGTATGGCTTGCCAAGCAGTGCATCGGTGCGCGCCCGGGATCCAAACCAGCGAACCCCGGGCCGCCGCAGCAGAGTGCACACACTTAACCGCTTGCGCCACCAGGCAGGCCCCTCATGCATTAATCTAGGTGAATGGCCTTAAGCCTGCATTGGGGCAAAAGGGAGGGAGAAAGGAAAATATTTAGAGGAGGAGAGAGGGGACTTATCAAAAAATCTAGACATGTGGAGCAAAGTAATAGGCGTAGCAAAGAGGATTTTGTGGAAGAGAAATGAAAGTGGATTAACATCTTATTCCAATTACAGAATGGGATATTAAATAGAGCCATGGAGGAGAGCCCAATTCATAAGGTGACTTGAATGAGAAACCTGTAAGAGGTGAGGGAGTGAGCCATGCTGTTGTCTGGGAAAGAGTCAGAAGAAACAGCTAGTGGAAAGGCCCGGGGCGAAAGCATTCCTGGAAGTGTTAGCAATGGTGAGGAGGCCAGGACAGTTCCAGCAGGGTGAGCAAATGAGAGAGGAATGAGGAGATAAGTTCAGAGAATGGGATCCTGTAGGCCACTGTAAGGATCTTGGCAAAAATGGAGCCATCACATGGCTTTGAACAGAGGGGTGATATGATCTGTTTTGTGCTTTCAAGCCAGATCACTCTGGCTACTGTGCCAAGAGTAGACGGTGAGAGGAGAATGGTGGAAGTCAGAGGCTCCATCATCTAGGTGCAGGATGGCGGCTTGGACCAGACTGGTAGCAGTAAGGTAATAAGATACAGGCTCTATACTTGAAGAACTCACAGTCTAGTGGGAATCAAATAGATTAGATAATTACAATACACTGTGGTCAGGGAAATAGTGTCCTGAAGGAGAGGCCGCCCTTGCCAGCTTTCCTGAGAGAGGATAGAAGTTCCCTCTTCTACCAAGTTGCCAAGGGAATTGGAAGTTTCTGGTTCTTTGTTGGGCCGTTGGGTGGATCCTTGATAACACAGCTAACACTCCTCTTCTTCCCAGCCCTTTAGGTCTCAGCTGAGTGGGGCTATAGGCAGAAGAGTACTAAAGAACAGTCTAGGTCATGGGTTTAAGGAGATGGGCAAAACTGAGATTATTCCTATTTGTCAGAGGAAGAAACTGAGGGCAATAGTCACCAGGTTTCAACCTGAGGCTGGGATCAAGGTCATCAAAGTCCCAAACTAGGAATCTTTCTGAGCCACTTGAGTGGAGTCAGCCAGATAATGGAGTAAAGAAGTAGAAAGACTTGCTTCTGGATAGCTGCCAGAAATGAGTTTGGGGGGCGTGGGGATCAGCAGCCTTTGAGAAGGAAAGCACAGCCGCAGAATATCAAAGAATGAAGTAGGACACCTCCCCTACCCCCACAAAAAAAGTTGTAATGGCCATAGCAGCAGGGGGAGATTTGGGGGATGATGGGGAAGGGAGGGGTTGCTTAAAGCTCAGATTGGGAAAGCAGACCTAGGTTCAATCTCATGTTCCATAACTTGCTTCCTATGTGCCTACGTCAAGTTATTTAGTTCCCCTTAGTGTCTATTTCCTTGCCTATTAAATGGAAACAGTCATCACAGCTACCTAGCAAGAGATAATGCACATGCTGCCATAAAATAAAGGCCCCCAAAGACAATATAATTATGTACAAGGTCAAGTGTCAGCACAGAAAAGAGTAGTTCACAGTCATGGGAGATGAGAGCTGGCTGGCAGGGAAGGTGTGGGGCAGGAGAGCCCTTGAAGAGGAGATGGTATCCAACTCAGGGGACAGAGCCTTAAGAGAAAGAGATTGCTCACAGCAATGAGATAGAGGTGTTATTGTTTTGTGTTGTTTGCAATCTTTTCCCAGCCTCATTTGGATTACAAATTCCTTGAAAGAAACACAGCCCCGAGCTAGGCGGCAATATCCTGACAAAAACCTTGACTCTGCGGCATCAACAGAGTCAACAGCATTCAAGGTTTCACGTGACCCACAGCCACTTAGACAAATGAGGCTTTACCTGATCCTTTTCTCCCTCTATTGTAAGAGAAAGCAGAAAATGAGAAATGAATGTAAAATGAGCCAAGATCTGTAAGAGAAAGAGAGAAAAACATGAGACAGCCTCTCATCATTCCCAGCCCATTCCCAGCCTTCCAGATTCGCTGGATATCTTTATATAATACTTTATATTTCATGTATTAGATGGAAAAAAGTCTATACAAAGGCCACTGGGAGGCTCTCAGCACCACCAACTGCTACTTAATGACAACACTTGGTGTTGGGTGTTGGTCACTATGCATACTTAAACAGCAATCAATAATCGTTTATCGAGCACCTACCCTGTACCAGGCACTGGGCTAAATACCGGGCAGTCAAAAGGGAATCCATAGGGGCCGCCCCGTGGCGTAGCGGTTAAGTGCACGCGCTCCACTGCTGGCGGCCCGGGGTTCGGATCCCTGGCGCGCACCGATGCACTGCTTCTCCGGCCATGCTGTGGTGGTGTCCCATATAAAGTGGAGGAAGATGGGCACAGATGTTAGCCCAGGGCCAGTCTTCCTCAGCAAAAAAGAGGAGGATTGGCATGGATGTGAGCTCAGGGCTGATCCTCCTCACAAAAAACAAAAGGGAAGGGGAATCCATAGATTCTCTACCTTCAGTGTGCTCCTAGGCTTCTGGAGAAGCAGACACGTAAACAACCCCAAATTAGTAGAGATTTGTACTTGTTTCATGGCAACAGAGAAGAAGCAAGGCTTAACTCTGTCAGATTGGATGGGGATGGGTGCACCAAAGAAAGCTCCACCCTTAAAGGTGTAAGGTTCAGGCTAAGTCTGAATAAATGAGTAGGAGTTTGCCATGCAGAGACAGAAGCAAGGCTGCAAGTGGAGAAAGAAAATTTGAGGTAGAAGAGGACAGCTTGAACAAAGTCAAAGAGGTTGAGGAGATACGAGAAAAGTAGAGGCTACGGAGATTACAGTCTTATAAGTGGTCATCAAACACTAGTGGCTGATGGGAATGACTAACTCATGAAGCTGGACCGTGTCGCTCGATTTAAACCATCCACAAATTGTGTTCTTGCCCCCGGGAGCTTGGTGTGAACTTCAGCTTATATCAGCAAGGCAAACTGTTGTCCTTCCCAAACACTCTACTGCTTCATCATTCTCAGAAGAGAGGAGCAGCTTAGAGTATTCCTCCCAGTAGAAGGCAGTAGCCTATTTTTTTTTTCCTAGTTCTGGCAATGCATTTGCACTAGTGCACTCATACCACCTACCTCCTCCACCTGCCACCCCATCCATCTGCCTTGTGACCGCCTGGCTCAAACCTTGGCTTACCTCCACTCTCAGAATCAACTGAGGTAATTTAAAGCATAATGAATGACATGAGGGCACCAAGACAGCTGAACAAACGTTAACAAATGTGTAGATTAAATAAAGTATTTACATTATGTGCAAGCAATGGTGTCAATGAAACTTGGGTGGTGCTGGGAAGAGTGAGTCAGAAGATGTTCAAATAGAGTGGGATCAGAGGAAATCTCTCTTTCAGTTAGCAGTATCTTTTGGAATGATAGAATGAAAGGAACCTGGATAGCAGGAAAAAGCAGCCAA